CTATTTTTATTAGTAGCCATCATTTCCTGCATGTCATAATCAGAATTTGTATCTTCGCTATTATCGTCATCGCTACCATTGCCATCGTCGCCATCTTGTTCTTTTATAACTTTCTTCTGCATACTTGTGTTTTCTTCTTCGTTATCTTCCCCTATTAAATGTCCACCTTTTTTCTTGTACTCTTCTACCATTTTATCTAATTCAAAATCTTCATCTTTTTCGTTTTCTAAATTCTTGAATACATCTTTTTCAAACCATAATTCTGCTTTGTGAATTCTTTTAGTCTTCTTATCCCTATGATCTAAGTCAGTTAACAAAGGATTTTCTGAATCCTCATCCACGTTCTTTCTCTTTGCAAATCTTTCATTTTTATCTTCATTATCAGACTCATCCAAACCTAAGCCTGATTTGTCACTATGAGAGTCATCATCTGATGAATCACTTGAATCTTCTGAGTTGCTATTCTCTGTTTTATAATACAATCCAGAGCTATCCAAATGTCCTTCATCTTTGTTATATGTAACTTTTTTGGCTTTTCTTTGCCCTTCATCCGAATCTACATCACTTTCTGCTACTACATCAGGATTCTGATCAGTTACATTTTCTAACTGTTGTAATGTCTTAATCTGTTTCAAGCTAAACATTTCGTCTCCTTCCAATATAGGTCCTTCGTTTCCTTTATGTACCATTTTTAAATTCAGACGTTCATTTAACTTTTGTCTTTCTTTATTAACTTTTTTCCTCTTTCGCTTAAGGTCTCTAGCTTCGTCGGTTCGAAGTTCCTCGATTTGTTTCATAATTTCTTCATCTTCCAAATCTTCTAGTTCTTCTTGAGTCATAGGTACTTTTGTTGACTCATCCACCACATCTTTTTCTGCATCTTCTTCTACCGGTTGTTTTTCTTTCAAACATTCCTTCATTGTTTTCCACCAACTAAGTAAACGCCGCAAATCCTTTTTACCTAATACTTTAATATCTTTACAACATTCCTTTATTTCCTTGGTTGTCTTCTCGTGACTTGCTATTGTTTCATCATCGAAAACAATTTCAGAAGCATTCTGCAATGCTTCCACAGCACTTTCATGTGATATAAAATCTTTAACTGATAACTTATGATATAAAGTATAATCGTTTTCTGGATAGCCCTCTGCTTTATGTTTCTTCGTTACCGGATTATATACATTCAGTTTATTTGTTGAATCTATCTCTAATTCAGAAAAAACATATTTTGGATCTAAGAATTTAGGATCTAACTTGTCTGGAGCAATATAATATTGACAGACAACAAAAATTTCAGCAGATTCTGATCGTGATGCTTGAGGTTTAGTTGCATGTACTTTTTTAAATAACTGTTTCAAAACCCAAATCAATGCATGATAATCTTTTGATCGAAAAACTTTTGTAACAAACCATCCTCCAGGCCTCAGAAATTGTGTTGCCAATTTCAGAGCAGCTAAAGTTAAAACAATTTGTTGATATGCATCGTGGAGCCAGTTTTTTCCAACATTTGGTGCTCCATCATTCAACACAACATCAGCTTTCCATGTCTTTAATTCACGAGATATTGAAACACGACATTTATCTGTCGTGATATCTTCTGTTAAACTGATACATCCTGGGATTGGTTTTATGGGAAACAAATCTACGCCAATGACTATGGAAGATACTGGCATATTCTGCCGGGCGATTTGCATCCACCCACCAGGAGCTGCACATAAATCTATGCATACTCGAGATTTTTGTAAAAATTCAAACTTTCGATTCAACTGAATCAATTTGAAAGCAGCACGTGATCTATAACCTATAAAATATAACCTGTGAGGAACGTGTAACACAACAAACATAGAAGCTGGCAAGCGTTTTTAATTTATTGCTAAATATTTTATTCCATAACTTTCATCGAATTAATTATATTGGAAATATTATATAGTCTGTAACAAAAATATTTCCACTTACCGGTTTCCTTTGCTAGGTGATAATATTTATCCCTTCGTTGTTTTCCAATTTTCCCTTTTTTACCCATGTTGAACTATAAACAGCCGTACCTAATTAGTGAAAATCAATTATAATAAATAATGTTGAATTACTAAGGAACACATGTCGTGCGAAACCACATGCGGTTATTACCATACAAGAGTTGACAAGAGTGGGGACTGGTGGGGACAAGCGGGGATCAAAGAAAGAACAGGTTTTCCTTCTCGCTTCTGAAATCAGTTTTGCTAACAATCTTATGCGATTGTAGTTCGAATATTTTGGCTATTCATGTTTTGAGGAAGCATATAAACATTCTAAAAAATATTCAAATAATTTCAACCCCAGACTGTTAGACACCCACACCTTTAATTTGTAAATCAGTGTTAAAATAAATCTTATTGTAATAATAACCGAAAATTCTCAGGTGAAAAAATTAAAGTATTTCTTAAACAAAAAGTAAATTATTCTTTTGTTCTTATAACTATAATCTTTATTTCTCATACATATTTCAATTGAAGTTACATGGAGTTACAAAAAATGCAAACAATATAGAAATAATGAAATACAGAAAGTACAATCAATTACTTCCATAACTTCTTGATCGACATATTCTTTTCTGAATCCTTCTGCATAACTTTTGCCACAGCCATTTCAAAATCTTCTTGAGTAACGTGAACGCGACGTTCTCTAAGAGCGTACATGCCAGCTTCTGTACACACACCCTAAAAATATGAGAACGTAAGAAAGATGACTAAAGAATTCCAATCTTTTAAAACACTCCATTATTTCTGCAGACGTAATATTAAATACCTTCACTTCAGCCCCTGATGCACCAGGCATAAGTTCTGCAATTTTTCTCAAATTAATACCACGAGTTAAGTTCATTTTTCTCGAGTGGATCTTCAAAATATCGAGACGCGCTTCCTCATTTGGTGGCGGAAATTCAATTTTACGATCGATACGTCCCGGTCTCAATAAAGCAGGATCTAATATATCAATTCTGTTTGTTGCCATGATAACTTTTATATTATTTGTTGCTTCGAAACCATCCAATTGGTTGAGCAATTCAAGCATAGTTCGTTGAACCTAATTAAAATTTTTATTAAGTTTCAATGAACTCCTGAACTTTAAAATCCAAAATATAAAACATACTTCGCTATCTCCTCCAGATCCCGATTCAATACGAGAACTTCCAATTGAATCTATTTCATCCATGAATATTATAGATGGAGCATGTTCTCTTGCCATTACGAAAAGTTCACGAACCATACGCGAACCTTCGCCAATGAACTTTTGTACTAATTCAGAACCAGATACACGAATAAAGGTACATTCTGTATGATGAGCAACAGCTCTTGCCAATAAAGTTTTCCCTGTACCTGAAAATAAATGGTAAATTCATTTATAAAGTATCACGTTTTCTGATAAGAAATAAATCAGCATTTTCTTCTGATTATTCATCTACCTGGTGGTCCATATAAAAGAACTCCTTTAGGTTGAGCAATTCCAAGAGCATCAAATAATTCAGGATGTTTAACAGGTAGTTCTATAACCTCTTTAATTTCCTTAATCTGTTTATCTAAGCCACCAACCATTTCGTATGTAGAATCTGGTACTTTCTCAACCATCATAAGAGAAACAAGTGGATCGACTTTATTTGGTAAGATTTTATGCAGAGTATAACTTTCATTACGCAATGCAACTCTTGAATTTGGAGTTACATCGTTGATATCAATGTTTTTGTCAATATCCACAACAAATTTGCCCTCAGGATGCACTTTAACCAAGACTTTCTTTTTATCCATTGGTTTGACAACTTCTCCAACATATGATCCTTGTTCTTGAAGAAGTTGCAATTCCTCTCGCAACATGCGCACTAGTGATAATAACAATGTTTTTAGTATAAAAAATATTAAAAGCAATGAAATAGAAATTATTGATTATAGTAGATGTGATATATAGGTATAAAAAGTAAAGCATACCTTTCGCGTTAAGCTCATTACGTTGCGCTTGTAACCTCCTTAAATTTTGACTTTTCTCTGCTACAATTAACTGCAGCTCTTCGATTTTGGTAATGTAATAAGGTTTAAAACCTTCTCCCTTCGCAGTCTTTTCATCTATTTCCATCTAAAGTGTTTAAAAAATAAAGAATTGCCCGAAATCTAATATCGAGTTCAAATTAACCCACTTACCCTATTTGTGAGCGTCATTTTCGCACTCACTGCTTATAACCAATTGCGAATAATAATTACTTTTGTTTTATACTGCCATTTACTTATAATATGAACGCTAAGTAATAATTAAAAAAGTCAATGCTTGTATTCTCTGTTACCGTAATAACTGCTTGTCACCGACTTCTATACTCAACTCGGAAGTCAAATGGTCAATCATTTACGAGAGTACATCGATATCGAATATCGATATTATATCGACTGTTGCGTTTCCTTTGTATCGAATTATGGGATACGTATACTGCTACGTTCAACTTCTAGAAGTACTTTGCATAAATAAAATCATGGAATTCAACAGAACCGAAACGATAGAGGATTATTGGAGATATTCCTTAGCTTTATTTAGAGTGCGTTATTGTTAGTTTTACAATATACACATTTATGAATACTAATACTGGTTTTATTACTAGTGGCGCCATCGGTGGTAACACACTTAAGTTTGTAGTGAAAATAGTTCTCAATGTTCCTACTAGATTTCGCCACTAACTAAAGGATCGATAATTATTATTACATAATAATTATATTCATAAAAATGATAAATTTGATATATTACCTTAACGTCACAATATGTCTTTCAACTTTTTCAACTTTATGTGTACGATTGCATATAAATTGTTTAATAAAGCTAACAAACAAATATAATTTTTTGTTAAACAAAATTGCACGTTTCCTTATGTCGTAATTGGACTACTTACGTTAACTTCATCTTTGCTCATACAATCTCTCAAAGCCCAACATTCCAGCGAATTTCTTTCAATTATTCACCAGAGATAGTTTCGATCTCTTTAAAACGCATAGAGATTAACAAAAACTATTTTATTTATCAAGTTAACACTTCAAAAAAGTACTATTAACTATCATTATACAAATATTACACGAATAACAACAAAACGTATATATTTACATAATGCAAATAAAAAATGATGGTATCTTCATTCGGCTCCAGCCACAAAAAGTTCCTAAAATTCTTTATACAAAACAATACATTTATCGTCAATGTTTTCGAATAAAAGACAATTATAAATACAGAATTCGATTGCCACACCCCAGAGGAGCGAGGCTAATACAATTTAAAGCAAATGTGAGTATGTACCTTCATATTCAGCAGTTACTATTTATATTTGTGTATTAGTAGTTATTTTCTTGTATCTTTACTGGACATGATTCGGTACATTTTATGATGTACATATAGATAAGCGCTTTTGTGTCGTCTATGTATGTGGTTAGTATTTAAATAGAAAATATTTCCCCCTCGTTTCAGATCATCTATTTCAATAGTTCCACGAATCCTTAAATTGTACATGGCGGGTGTACAAATGTTGCACGACAATATGCGTGTCAATATTTTGTTCGATGAAGATGTTAACAAAACAGGAGTAAACAGGGACAAGTCTCAATAGTCGAGTATGTAAAAAATTAATTCAAGCACCGTATGTGTATCCTGACTGCTTTGCGCTGCTTTATGCAGAACTTGAATTAATTCGTTGTCCAAACTGTTCATGTAGATCGGTGGCAATTTCATACCTTCACTACCAGCTTCATAACCCACCTAGTGTTATATTACAACTTCATTATACGTTTCTTTTTAAATTTCAGATGAGAGACTATTCCAAACTGCTAAGTGCTATAGAATTGCTTATCGTCATTATTATATCATATCAAGGAACTCACGTTATCGGGATGAATGGTAGTTCTTACGCCAAGTTTCATTAAACCAGCAGTAGCTAGAAGGTCTAGTAGCTTCACCAAAGCTGTGCACGTTGCTTTCGCTATATTTCCGGATAATTTATCTATATCCACTGGATCGTGAACCCCGTTCGGATGATCATCAGACTTTGAACAGAAACAGTTTGAAATACATTTATTTAATGACATTTTGATCTATGAGAGATAGTTCAAGAAACAAAAATATTTTTACGCTTGATAACATAAGTAGGGCGAAAGTAAAATTATATTCGTCGCTGCGCATACCTTAATAATAAATACTTCCCTCCAACAAATAAATCTGCTTGTTCCCTTGCAATGGATACTTTTACGTACTCTAATCGATGGAATACCATCCATTGGTTGTCCATCGATAGGACTTTTAACTCTAAAATTAGATAACGAATTCAAATAGTTCGCAGTTAAAATGAAAAATGAATCGAAAAATTAACTGCCGTGACATTTACCCTACGTTGAAGTTTACATCGTTTTCGACCCATTTTATGTTTACTGTTTCGTCTGGTTCGGGTGCTCCTTGTCGACCGCAACCAATAGAAAAATCTTGCATGTTTCTGAGAGCCGCCTTTAAAGCCTCCATTTTTTCTGGCATTATTTCTACCATCATTCCATCCTCCACTATACTTGATTTGGCCGAGAGACCCATCGACGATTTTAACGCGCCGTTGATAACGATAAAACTCGTTCCTGTCACTGAATCGATTGTAAGGACTAATTAGCATTTGAAAATACAATTAATCCTTCACTACATTCGTTATAAATCAAATACGTACCTGTTCTTGGTTTGTTCGCGATACTTATCGCTTGCGTTTGGTAATTGCTTTCGTCGCCAGTGTTGGTTTGTATGCAGACTAAGTGCGAGTCGGCAGCCATGCTGAAATTCGAAGCATACGCTAGCACGTGGTCGTTCGAATTGTTCAAACCTTTGATCACTTGATCGTATCGATTCTTTGGGAACATCACATCCGTTATTCGATTCCTGAAATGTATAGTCAGTCCTCTCACGGTAGGTAACGTGTACCCGAAGTTTCGAAAATCCGCTAACACTTTCATAACAGTGTGTCCTATCTCAAAGTACAAGGCATCACGAAATCGCACGGAGAATAGCGGGCAAGGATAGTTGCGATATTCCGCACCAATTCGTAGGACAAGACGCAACGGAAACACTTTAGCCCACGGTGTTTCCCACCTAAAACGATAAAAAAAAATGCGAATTATGTAAATGGATAATCGTTGTATTGCAATTTTTAATGAAACAAACCTGTGCACCAGTAAACCCACTAGGAAAGGGGCAGGAGGTAAAACGATCTTTTGTAAACATTGAAACGTTTGTCGTATGAAAAGAAATCCAGCATGTTTCCGAGAACCCAAAAGATTTCCTCCATGATATCTCGAGAATCCCAACTCGGAGACCGTGTGTCCTGTATCGATGATTTATTAAATTATGTTGTAAATTCGTTAGAAATAAACATGCAAAACGATACCTGCGATAGCTTCGAGATATAACTCGTTGATGAAAATAAGGAGGTCCTTCGGTATCTGGGTTTCATCGGGCAACGTTTCAATTAACAGTATTACCTCGTCTTGTCCTACGCAAGCGAGTCCTTTCGATGTAACGTTCCAACATGTTTTATTTACGCAGCAATTTACTAAAAATGATGCATGGAATTCGTTTCGTTAGAAGTACTATCAAATTAATACCTGCAATAATTACTACCAGTTTACGCTTACAATTTACTATCTTAACGTAGGCATAGAGATTCCGATTAATTGCAAACATTACTGGTGGCTCGCAATCATTTTTTAGTGTTTTGTAGAGAAGATCCTCGTCTGTTACAGGGTGGTATGATACTTCTGTAAAGTTAAATAAACTTGTATAACGTTATGTTAAAGCAAAACATAGTTATCTGTCAATAGATCTATTACTTACGTCCTTTATGTATCGTTACGGTTGGCGGAAGGGCGTTCGGTTCGTGTGGCACGTAACTTTCAGTGTTTGGATCCAAATGCGGCAAGTTCTGCCTCTTGACAGAAGTACTCGGCACCGACGATCCAGGCGTCGGTATAATCATGCTCGCCAATTTCCGGTACGGCCGTTTCAAGTCCCACGACATGTCTAGTTCTGTCAGGTCACAGCCAGGCCTTATTCCTGTGTTTTAGTTATAGGTGCATAAAACCAAAACAAACAGGAAGGAACAGGGCCATTGACGAGGTGAAACGTTTCAGGGAGGCAAAAAAATAATATCGCACACAGATATAGGAATATAACGTCAACTCAAGAAAACCAAAACTTAATGCAAGGTGTATCAGGTTCAGATTAAAGTGTAGGGTTGCTGTATCTACGATCTCTACAGTGTTACGTGTTAATTGTCTAGTAATTAATTATATTAAGTTTAGAAAAATATGATACTTTCTATTGTTAGAACAAAATGCAATTCGAGTGCTTGAGCAACTGTAAGTCTTAAAAATCAAACATACTTCACTCTTTTTGCAATGAATAAATTTAAACATCATTGAATACAACTTGAATATAACTTTTACCTACCATCGCTAAACATAACAGATTTTGAAACTTCAGGCCTGTTCTTTGTACCACCTTCTCTTTTAAGAACTCCGACGGGTACCATGACCGTAGGCGGTGGAGCCAATCCGCCAGATAACTGTTGCAAGGGTGGTATAGTTGAACAGTACTCCATGGGATTATTTGGATTAGGCTGTCTCCCCTATAACCATTTCTCGAATACTCCTAACATTCACATTTATTTCTTCATCCAGTAAACACAGATTGCACACACAAAATAATAGAATGTTCCTTTATTGCATTTAATTATGATCTGTATATTTTATTCATACGATAATCATCCGATCGATACTTTGTTATTTAGAAATATTCGCTTTACGATAAAATTTTATTTAAAGAAAATGTTTGAAAGTCCTAACAAAAAAATAAAAAATATTAGCAGTAAACAATCAGTAACATAATAAAAATTCAACGACATTTAAGTATTAAACTACAAATGATCGCAGTTAGTATGTTCGCATAACTTAATTACTTCAATCGCGACAATTTTCTGTTTACTGGATATTTCTTGCAACTAAAATATAAAGCAGACAAGTAACTCTTCGCAAATAATGCTAGTTAAAAAAAAAGCATGCCTTATATTTGTAATACGAAAATCAATATCTAACAAAAAACGAACCAGAAACAAATATTTATAACATGAAAAAAGAACACAATGCAAACAAATTGAACGTGCTACTACAATCGTATCATTCTCGTAATTTATAAGTATCAATTTTAAATACTGTGAATCAGTTGAAACATTAGACATTTGATTCTGTTTTATAATTGTGAGAAGATTGTAAAGTTTCTGTCTTAAATCTAAATTCATCTACGAAACGATGTGAAATAATAAGAAAGAAGTATTCAACAAATTGTTATAGGTGATTAATAATCTTATGCTAACATTTAGATTAATTTAAGAAAAAATGTTTTATTTAAATGTAATTTATGATATATGAGCTTTATCATTTTCTTCAAAAATTTGATGCAACTAATAACTAAATTAGAGATCTTTTATTACCAATAGAAACTCAGGAATTAATAAACAAAAGAATATCAAATATTTACATGAAATAAGAATCTAATGGAGTTATGCAACCAGGCAGCAAGGAATGTAACATCCTATGTTGTAATTCTCGTAAACAATTGAATTAAGTTAGTACAATAATGGAAATAGTAAATGATCGACAGTAATAATTCAACGCTTTATTAATAGAAAATAAATGTGACAAACTACTGATAGTTAATATTTACTATTAGAATTTATGGGTCCATACATGAAAAAAATACACAGCAATCTCTTATAAAATAATTTGCATTCAACGTACCTGAGGTGAATTGATATCATTGTTACTCATGCACGTTGAATAACCAGAAGTCCATTCTCCCAAACCTTGTTCAGTTTCAGCTGCAAAATAAAATTTCCGTTACTATATTCCCTTTTTCCTTATACAGTTAACAACGTTCTAATAATCAAACGTTATATCGTAGAAATTACCTTTGGTGAGAAGCTGATAACAGGAAACGCAAACGCGGGAGTCAATGTTTCCCTGATATTCTAATTTATATTTCATACTACAGCATTTATTACATAAGACTTTTCCACACGCGCGACAGTGATGTCGCCTTTTGATTACTGTAAATTTTACATCGCAGAACATACAACTGGGTGCATTGCTATCTGGAACCCAAAATGGGGGTTGCTTTCCCAAAACTAAACTAGATTCTGGTAAGGAATTGTCTAAGATATCTGGCAAAGATCCTTGATCTTCTTTCATAGCATCGACATCCGATTGCACTTGACCAGATGTATCGCTTGTAGAACCAAGTGTCGGATGTTCGCTTGTATTATTTGTTAAAACGATATCCAAAGTCTGAGGACGCACTGGCTTCTCTGATTCATCGCTGGTATCGCTTGTATTTGATCTTATGGAAGCCTCCACAGATTTAGGCATTGTATCGTCATAATGCGTTATCGTATTACTTTGTACTTTTATTTCGGATGATATCGAAATGCTTTCTTCGGAATTATTATCGATGTCGCTTTGCATTTTTAATTCGCAAGCTTGACTATATTGCCCAAAATTTTCTTTCTGCTCCTTTAATTGCGTTTCAGTTCTATCGTTAGTCAATGATTCTTGATTTATATTTAAATCATATGTACAATCTTCTCGAACGTCCTTAATACTCTCTGTATTAGATATAGATCCGCTTTCTAACGTTACATGAATATATTCGTGTTTTTCCTTCTCATCATCGTCTATATGCGATAATTCGAATTTTCTACTGCTTGTATTATCTAACACGTCGCTACGTTTATCTTCTTTCGCTTGATCGTTGTATTGTTGTTGATTCTGTTTCTCTAATAAATCAGTCTGTATTTCTTTATTTGTATCTTCTTTCGTATAATCAATTACCGAAATATTTTCTATTTTCTTGCTTAATTCTTCCTCTGTTGTCGTTGAAGGTTCTATAATATTTTTCAAGATTTGAACTTCGTTCTTTTGATCTTGTGATGTACTTTGCATTGTATTTTCTAATACAGTTTCGTGCTTGTTATTTTCTTTGTTTAGCGTATCTTCTTCCTCTATTTCAGCTAAATACTTAGTCAGTTCCTCCTCTGGTAAATCATTGATACTACTGAATCCAAGTGGTTTATGTACTAGATTTGAACTGACTTTATGTTTATCAGTTGTAACAGAACATTTTACATCTAACGGTTTACTTTCTTCCGATTGTGTTACAGACTTCTTTTCGCAACTAGTCGCCTGAGCGCCATGAAGATATTCAAATCTCGAATTATTCTCTCTGCTTACGATATCAATATTTTCACGCACCCGATCAAAATTGAGTTTACTATGTAGTTTCTCGTTTACTACTTCTGCATCGGTACTTAATCTGTATGTTTCGGTTACCATTGTGTTTCTAGAGAGTTCAGATTCATTTTTTATTTCTTCATAACTTGGTAAATGAATATTTTTTACACTATCTTCTTCGATATTCGATTCACGCGTATCGGGAAATTCCGATGCTACGGATACCGCGACATCATGTTGACTTGAAATGGAAGCTTCTTTACCACTAATAATCGTATTGCTTCCTTGTTTAATCGCTGTACTTTCGTCTGTATTTTTCACAGAACTTTGAATTAACCGAGGTGCTTCCCTATCGTGGCAAATAGGTTTAGATTCTATATTGGATTCTCTTTCTTGCTCGTCTAACGTAGGGTGAATACAGTCCGAACTTCCAGGCGGCGCGTTTATATAGTCGTTTAAACTACTGAATACATTGCTAACACTGGGTTTGAGATTAAATTGATTCAGTTTTTTATCATACCTATTGTCAATCTTTGGGCTACTACTACCATTTTGCTGTTTTTGAATTAATTTTTGCGATATGTCGTTATGTATCGTCAAAGGAACCTGCTCGGAGTTATACGGCGGGACAATTTGTTTTTGTGTCAATTTATTGTCGTTTGCGCATTCTTGCATATAAAAATGATTTACGCTGTCCAAGCTATCTAGCGACGTTTCATCTTTAGTATAGGTAAGAGCATCAGGAATTACGTTCTTGTCTTCGACACATATACTCCTTCCAGCCGTTTCCTGTGGATCCTTATACCTTTCCAAAGGAGATACCACATCCAATTCTTTGTTGGCTTTTCTAGACTCTATCAAATGATAATTATAAGGTTTTAAATCCGATGGTTCCAAGTTACTCTTACTCGCAGAAGACGATGCACTGTTTGCAGAAGGATTAACAGATGCTATTTGCTCTGCACAATCTGAAAGATAGGTTTATTATATTATTCGATAGGAATCTATAATAAATAGGACCAATAATTATAATAGCATTCAATTTGAGTTTGGAGTACAGATATTAGATTTGAAACTGTTTACAAACAAAGATATGGTTATTCGTTTTCTATGAAAAAAAAAAGAAATTCTCACCTTCATTAAATTCAAAATCGTCGAGAACTTTGTCCAAATCAACGGCAAATTTTTCCATTGCGTCGTTAACGTTGTTTACACTGATCGCGAGGTCATTTAACACATTCCTTTGGAGCTTCTGATAAATTTTAAATAAAATTTCATCAACTGAGCAACTGTCGGGACGAAACGTACGACGTAATTTTCAAATTTCTCGCTGACGATACGTCGAGAACGTATACCGCGGAACTCCAAACGACAATCGGTTAGTTACATCAGCAACACGACATTTTCGACGATTTGATAAACCGCCTACAAGTCATTTCTTGTTATACGAATATCCTTGCGTTTGGTGTTCTAGATCAGCGCAGTGTGTCTTTACGAATTGGTCCCTTTCGATTATCCATGACACGCAACCGTGACATCGGTGGAAGAGGTTTTCATTGGAGCCACGCGTCCGAGAAAACAATGCGTAACAATCAAAGGAACGATCATGAATCCTCGATCATCACGTGGATTAATTGACAGTGGAATAAACGATCATGCATGTTCGCGCAATAGTTGCTCAGAGAACTGTCATTCTACCATCACCTACGATTCCTACGTGCGAGCGCAGTGACGAACCTTCTCTCCTATCGATAAATCGAAATTCACAATCGCGTTCTCGATCGATCGACTAATTTCGTATTCAGAAATTTTATCACACTCGATAACAGGCGATTTTTCAACGACATAGAATATTATTCGAAATTGGTAAATTTTTTTTTTTAATAATGATTTCACCGATGAGTAATTACTGTAGTGGATTGAGTCGCACTTGGTAACAAAAGAAAAAAATGCCGAGACTCACGTGCTTTTGGATGTGAAACGATCTTTAGTCGTTATAGTCTCTACATATTTAGAGCCTGAGCTGTCACTAGAGCTGGCTACGTAATTTACGAGGCCCTTGCTCGAAAAACAGGAAACAAGAAAGCTTTTTCAGTTAAAGATATTTTATTGCTTCTGAAGCATAACGGTAACAGCGGTAGACGAGTACATAAATTTACAAAATGAAAAAAGTAATCGTGGAATAAATTTGTAACTCTATTACTATGTCAATGGAAATAGGATCGTATGGTAATATAGTACTAAATTTCTTTAACTATGGTTACTTTTAGTTTTTACAGTTTCCTGCCATGACGATGCATTGATATTTCGTATAATGGAGGATTGGATCCACGTGTAGTGTCTGATCGTTTATGTATATACATGTTCGAATTTAAGAGACGCTTTTTAGTTTTCACAGGAAAGCGGGTGCATCATTAATTAAACATCCGTCTGTGTAATAAAAATAAGCAAAATGTTGAAAACAAAGGTTTTCTTTAGAAAAACAAAGGGAGGAAAAGTGTTTAAGGTAATATAAACAGAGTTAGGGCTTGACATGTTTTGATTGACATTTAAGCGATGCCCAAGATCAAATACACAATTCATTAATTACAATTTGTCATTGCTGAAGGTAAAAATGTCCGAGTATTTACATTTTCTTTTACTTTTTCTTAGACTGTCCGTGAACACTACCTCAGAGATGATATCCACTGTGGTTCCAAAGCTTGCGATAAATGTCTTTATAGAAATCGAAATATTATATTAGACGACGAAGATTCAGGTGCTAAAAGTTCTAGACTACCATATCCTTATTATCTTTTATTGGATACCAATATTATTTTAAACCAGGTTAGAATAATCTTACCACATTTTAATACCATTACTAATTTAATCATAATCTACTAATTCATTCATAATTTTAGATTGACGTTTTACAAGAAGATGTTATTTCCAATGTAATAATTTTGCAAACAGTGTTGGAAGAAGTAAGACATAAAAGTTCTAATGTATATAAAAAGTTAAAGGATATAATTAGTCACACGCATAGGAAATTTTATGTATTTGTTAACGAACATCACAAGTATGTTTAAACTTTATTTATTCCACTTTCAGAGTGGCATTTCTATCTTATGTATTATTGTAAATCATATTTTATAATTTTGTGTAGAAATACTTATATAGAACGTAATCCTGGTGAAAGCCCAAACGATCGAAACGATCGATCTATACGAGTCGCGACAGGATGGTACAATGAGCATTTAGCTTCTAACAATTGTAATATTAAGACAGTACTATTAACAGACGACGCGCGAAACAGAGAATTAGCAGAAAAGGAAGGGATCCCTGTTCTTTCAAGTAAAGCTCTTTTTTTGAAGTTGTAGATAAATTATAACCTTTATTTCACTTTATGCTATTGTTACTTTTCAGTGGAGGATTACGTGGCATCGTTGGAAAATGCAGGCTATTTAGTAGATAAATTATGCAAACTAAGTTATGGCTCGGAAAACGAAGGCAGGGAAGTTTTCCCTTGTCACCTTGCTCCAACACAACTACACAATGGTATAAAAAAGGGGGAACTTATGCAAGGAAAATTTTCAGCATCGAGAGAAAACTTTTTAGAGGGATACGTAAATACAGAAGGAATGGAAAACTCCGTGAGTGCTTACTTGTCTTCTATTATTATTCATCTCGACTAAATATGTCTTCAATTACATATATTTTGTTGTAGGTTTTGATCCAAGGTCGAAGCAACCTTAATAGAGCTGTTGATGGCGATACAGTTGCAATTGAACTTTTACCAGAAGACCAGTGGTCATCTCCCAGTGATATTATTCTACAAGATGAGGGAGAAGCAGACGCGGACGATATTTTAGAAACAGAGAAAGTGTTAGATAAATTTGTTTCTTCGAACAAAATGCAAAAAACTCCAACTGGAAGGATTGTTGGTATCATTAGAAGGAACTGGAGGCAGTATTGTGGAATATTGCAGCCTAATAATGTTGAAGGGGTAATTACAACAGTTGTAATAATTAACTTAAATGTCTATTATATATGTACTATTTGTATATCATAACCTTGTTTTGTATTTAATTAGAGTATAAGTCATTTGTTCGTCCCAGCCGAACGAAAAATACCTAAAATAAGAATCGAAACCAGACAATACAAGGTGTTGAGTAAACAAAGAATTATCGTTGCTATTGATTCGTGGCCGCGAAATTCTAGGTCTCCTTTGGGTCACTTTGTACGAGCATTAGGTGAAATAGGAGATAAAGCAACTGAAAACGAAGTAATACTATTAGAGCACGATGTCCCGCATAGTCGATTTTCTGATGATGTTCTTAGCTCACTTCCAAAAATGCCTTGGAGCATCACGGAAACTGTATGTACAAATAATGCGACTAAAATAATTAGATATATATTTTGATCGTATATATCTTTTTACGATACAGGACTTGGAAGGTCGAGAGGACCTTAGACATTTAGATATATGTTCAGTGGATCCGCCAGGGTGCACAGATATCGATGATGCGCTTCATTGTATAGAATTGCCGAATGGTAATCTCGAAGTAGGTGTACATATCGCGGACGTAACACATTTTATTAGACCTGGTACAGCATTAGATAAAGAAGCAGCTTTACGAGCTACGACTGTATATTTGGTTGATACAAGGATTCAAATGATTCCAGGTAAAAATAACTTCTAACTTTCGAATATACATTAATTTTTTCATTCGTAATATATGTCGAATTTTACAACGTAATATTAAAAATAATGATTGTAGAATTGCTCAGCACGAATCTCTGTTCCTTAAGAGGAAACGAAGAACGATTAGCGTTTTCCTGTATATGGGAAATGGACAAGGATACAAATATAATTAATACGAGATATTGTAAATCTGTAATTCGTTCGCGAGCAGCTATGACTTACGACGAAGCTCAGCTAAAAATCGATGATTCCACTCAACAAGATTCAATCGCAAAATCGTTAAGAAACCTTAATAATTTAGCAAAACTATTAAAGAAGAAACGTTTAGAAAACGGGTACGAAACATGGCGTTCCAATAATAAATTAGTTTGTTTTTCAACGATTGCGGTACTAATCGCGTTTAATTGAATTTGTTTTAATCGTAGCGCGTTAGTGTTAGCATCTCCGGAAATCCGTTTTCAAGTTGACGATGAAACACACGATCCCATCGATGTGGAAGCGAAAAAAATTAAAGACACTAATTCTATGATCGAAGAATTTATGCTGCTAGCAAATATTTCGGTTGCTAAAAAGATCGTGGAGGAATTTCCAGAATGCGCAGTGTTAAGAAGACATCCTGAGCCACCGCCTGCTAATTTTGAGCCTCTTATAAAGGCTGGAAAAAATCAAGTATGGAAAACTTATTCGAAGAAGAATCAAATACAACTGTTTTGCGTACAATGATAATAACTAATAATTTTTCAACAGGGTTTCACTATAAACATTAATAGCGGCAAAGAATTGGCAGAATCTTTAGACAAGTGTTACAAAAAGGACAATCCTTACTTCAATACTATGCTAAGAATACTTGCCACACGGTGTATGATGCAGGCTGTATACTTCGTTAGCGGTATGCACCAACAAAGCGAATACTTCCATTACGGTTTAGCATGTCCAATCTATACCCATTTCACCTCGCCTATCCGAAGGTAAAAGTCCAAAATTAAAAATGAAAGTAACTTAAATAACGTGATTTGAATATTTTTATTTATTTTATCATGTAGATACGCCGATGTAATGGTTCATCGTTTATTGGCAGTTTGCATAGGGGCTGACGTGACTTATCCTGATTTACTGGACAAGAAGAAGAATCACGCGCTTTGTCACAATCTAAATTATCGAAACAGAATGGCTCAGTTCGCTGGCCGTGCATCGGTTGCACTTAATACACATGTTTGTATTTGTTACGCTTTCTTTAAATTTAAGATTCAATTGCATTCGCGCTAACAGTATTACTTCTCATTTTTCCAGTTATTCTTCAGGGGTAAAATTCAAGATGAAGAAGGTTATATACTTTTTGTACGTAAGAACGCGCTACAAATACTGATTCCTAAATATGGATTAGAAGGAACGTTGTATTTGAACGATAAGAAATCATCCGTATCGTTCAAATACCATGACGAAGATCATTCGCAAACTTGCGGGGACATCGTATTTCGAACGTTCGATCTTGTTATAGTGCAAATAAGTTTGGATAGATCTAATGTACAGCACGAGAAATTAGTATTTAAACTTGTTAAACCATACGTAAGTCTATCGCAATGAATCATATCAAGTTAATCGTTATTACGTTAAACTCTTTACGTTTTATTTTAACCGCTTGTAAAATTATATTTGAACAGATCCCAGGTTTCAGCATTCCTTCAGGAAACACAGAATTTTCAGACACTATACAAGAACAAAGTACAAAAGAATTGTCGAAACGAAAAATAGATGTAGCGTGTATAGAAAAATCATCGGATGATAGGGCTCAAAACGAAGGAAGCAAAAAGAAACGAAGACGGAAGAAACGATAATGTGATATTTTGATCTTTTGACAGATTTTTTTTCCGTATGTTTTTGTATATTGTGTGTATTAAATATAAAGAAAAATGAAGTAAGGGACCTCTGTAAATATTTTACTCGACAAATATAAAATTTAATTAACATACGAAATAATAAAAACTCCTTGAACCATGTTTGTTCCCCTCGGTAAGAAATGAATAGTTCTAAGAAAAAAAGTATTTGTATTCTTATGATTGTATACAGACGTCCACATATGCGATTTAATCATAACTTGATAAAGTGTTATGTATTTATAACGACTTGTCAGTGTGTCTATGTGCATACATGTATATCTGCATACTAGTGTTAATTAGCAATATAACAGAACTATAGGGTCGGAAACATCGACGTTGGAAGATATTCTTATCTTCATGAGAGAA